GGATTCCAATCCTAAAATCATAAATTAATCCTTTATTTTTCTATCGAATACATAAAATAAAAATTTAATAAAACAGTTATTTCAAGAATTTTTTACGTACATAAAAACTCAAATTCGAAACTTCCAAGCATGGGATGGAATGGGATGATAGTTATTTTGTACAGTATACATCAATTAATTCCTTACGCAGACCTCAAAACTTCCACCATTCCGGACTTAAAAAAGTTATGGTTGAACCACTGAGAAGTAGCAGAATTAACCGCATATGCATTTGCATGGTCATAACCCAAACAAAATGGCTGGGGCGGGGGTCACTGACTACGTCTAGCTTTAGCCACAGTTTTCAGCAAACCTTTCACTATCTTCCAAAACCAAAACACGTTCATCATTGCCAATGTAGATGGTATCACAAGAATGCTATAGAAGCCCAATGGGAATATTTGCTTGACCTGAAACAAAGAAACACACAAGATGAGGGAAAGAGAGACAAAGCCCAAAAAATTCATACAACCATTAACCAAACCAAGATTATTGCATAATCCTGAATTTCCACCAGTTCCTTCTTGGGCGAATCACAACATCACAGCCACTAAATATGTAGAGTGAAAGCAAATATGATATGCATTCTGATGCCATGTCAATTCCAAACCTTGAATAGAACATGTCAAACAACATGCTACTCCTATAGCTGTTGGTTATTTAAACTCATATTGATAAAGAGTTAAACCGAGACGCATCACTCACCTGATCAAAATGGATACACATGTGAGTGAAGAAGAAGATGAACAAAAGAATCCTTGCAACCTGATCACATCAACAGTTGTTGTGAGCCACATTAAAGAACAGTAAAACAAAAACAACACATGGTAAAATTACAGAGCATTTAGGTTCATGGTAAAATACTGCAAGGCAACTGAAATAACCAGGATTTTAATGTATGTTAGTACCAGCCACCCCAGGAACAATACAACTCCATTCCAAACATACAATTTAGAGCTCTTCTGACCAGCAACATCCAAGTACCTAAATTGGCATTCAGCAGGTTAGGGAAATTCTAAAAGCCAAGAAATCATAAGGGAGTTATGGAACGCCTTTAAATGATAACCTTACCATCTTAAATTTACAAAGGGAGTTGTAATCTCAGAAAAGAGAACCATTAGTATGTAAATCTGCGCTTGACCACTTAGGAGGGCGAGAATTATTGAGAACATGGATAGTCCATGGTGCAAGAGCTTATAGAAAGAAAGGAGATTATTAGCAAATTAGTTCATATAAAAAATGAAAATGAAGACCTTTCAGAAATAAAGAATATCAACATCATTGGTAAATCAGTTTATAGGAAATAATGAAGAACAAATAAAACGGCAATCAAGTCAGCTTGACTTCATGGTCAGGCAGGAGTGTCTGCTAATCTTGTTCAAACAAACAAAGTATTGATAACAATGATGGTTTAAGATTAACAAATTGCCGCAAGACTACTAAATACAGAAACCAAACAATTCTATTCAATGTTCACAATAAGGTTATAAATAAAGATAGTCTCAAGATGACTTCTATTTTTCCTTCTCTTTCTCTTGTTTGTAAGGAAAAGAGCAGATAGGCTCAAGGCTTTAAAAAATGATTGCTTAAAATGTTCATCCACCATGAGCTCTTTATACTTACATACTCCATACCACCTAAAGCTGGAAAATGCCAAAGAATCATTGCCAGATCTGACAGAAAATAGCCAATGGATATCTGTACAAGGGCCAGTGAAAAGGAATCAGGAATGACAAACAAAAAACGCCTCTCAAGCTGTCAAAGAATAATGCAAAACATGTAACCACTTCCAATAAAATGGTCAGCTCATTGCTCCAAATACTTGATCACATACTTCCAATAAAAGTTGTAACCACTTCTACAATGAATGCAGTATATTGACAATTTCAGAACAGTAATCTCTGCCAAATTTATCCAAGCATCTACTTCATGAGAAAAAAAAAAAAATGCTGAAGGCTTAGGATGTTTCCATATATATATTTCTAAGACCCCATTTTGGTAGGATTGTAAATGAATAATAGCATTCTAAGCAATATATCAAAACAATGTGTTACAAAAGGATGGTTCTGTACTGTATTTCATAATGCAATAAATTGAACCAATGCACTTCATCTGAAAAAGAATCTTGCACACCATGTTAAACATTGATATTTACTTAAACAACATAAAATTGGTCTCCCAACGTACGATTGCTCTCTCAACATGCAAGCATTCACAAGCACACATGCGTACATGACATACTGAGAAAAGCTGCCTCATATTAGTCTATCCATATGGATGTGTTATTCATGATGCACTTGAAACTATCAACTGACAGGATTCTAGCAGTACAACTAACTTTATCTAAAAATTGTAAATTTGAGCTATGTATAAGCAGAAAGTCAAAATCATGCAGTGAGGGGGAAAAAAAAAAAAAAGCTTCGCATAAGAGGCTCGTGCAAACACAGATCAGGCATGTATCAACATTCATGGAACTTTGATATAGTATAAAGAGAGAACTAGTATGCTCGGCATGAAAAGAAATAACGTTAATCATGACTATGGGTGAAGAAGTGATAGTTGAGTTGGTGTTCAGAACAAAATGCAGACATGGCATATTAGTTGCTAAAAGATCTACAGATCATGAGAAAGAGAAAAAAATAAAAAAAAGAAACCCTATGATGTTTTGTCCTGCATCAACTTACCCCCAATGTAGAGTTTGATAAAATAGAGTTTCTATTAATAATTAATTCATCTCGAGAATCCTCATCAAAAAGACCCGATAACAGCAGGAGGTACAGAGAAGCTGATGCAACAAAAAGAGCATGGAATGTCGAGAACCCACTGTATCACAAAGGCAATCAAAGTGAGTTTATGCCTCCGGAGAAGTTGAACATCAAACATGGGAAAAGCTATGCATCAAATATGGAAAAAGAAGGATGAATGTGGGAAAGCAATTGTACCGGTTATTCCATTCAACTTTGTGTGCATCACTGAGTTTCCCGTAACCTTTGAAACACGAAAGGCTAGCAAAAGCTGTTAATTTGTAAACCTTCAAGAAAAAGATTGAAGCAGTCCATTAATTATGTGAAATGATGAGACTCGTCAAGCTAACAATGGGAAACAAAATGCAAGCAGGAGGTATGAGATAAATAACACCAACCAACCAAACACGATTATATGCTTGTCATCCATCGAAAAGGATCCTATTGGACAAATGGGTTTGTAATACAAGCTCCTAGGGAAAAAAATAAAAGGGAAAATGGTTTTTTTTTTTTTTTTTTAAAAAGAGTAGAGAATTGAAGATGCATACTTACAATTCTGCAGATAATCATGCCAGACAAGACACAAGCCAGAAAATGAAATTGTGTGGTTGCAGTGTCAAGTGCGGAAGGAAAAGGCAAGACCGCCATACTATACTGCTTTCTTTCTGGAAATCCTTTATCTTTAATGGGCGGAAAAGGCGAGGCAACAAGTAAATGCTAAATGCTGGCACCTGTCTCTGCCTCTGCCTCCGTCATGATCATCATGTCCTCTCTTTTTAATGCTATCCGTTTTCTTTTCTAGACTACAACCATACAAATAAAACTTACACCCGTTGGTTTCTACTTTTTATAACAACAGTGCTAGCATTAAATGAACAGAACAGGTTTTTTGACTGATAAAAAGTTTCTCTTTCGTCTCTCTATATCTATCTATCTATTTACGGAAAAGAAAAGAAAAGGAAAATTGTAACGAGCAGATTACAAATATAGAAGATGACTTCTGCTTATTATTTCTGTCAAATTCAATATCCATTAATTTCTGTCTAATCCCCCCGCTAGTCCAAGTCCCTGCTCAGACGACTTCTGCTTCCTGTGCGCCCCTACCCTACACCTTCTCTCTGTATCTGACTTATTATTTTGTTCTTGTTCACGTTCATGTCAATGTGTCTCGGGGTGTGGATCATAGAACTAACTGGATGGGTATGGGCCTTACGTAATTATTTTCTTTTTTATCACGGAGGCCCAATTAATGTGGAGTGAGGCCTGCAAATATTTATTTATTTATTCCTTCACTCATGTAAAAATATTTCACCTTTTCTTATAGCACCGGAATTTCCTAACAATTTCTATCGTCATCAACTTTACCATTAATTCCCAGAATCAGAAAAGTGACTAATATGATCAGATATTATTATTTTTACCAAATTTCATCTTCCATCATCGCAACTCTCCCGATACGTACAGCAAGCTGTGGTTACGACCTCAACTTTCACGGATAGCAATAAATTCATCAATAAAATTGTTATTTCTATATTTTTTTTAAATTACTAATTCATCTTTCATTAATATTTATTATATAATAATTATTGATAATTAGTGAAGAATATATTGATAATTATTTATAAAAAAATAGTGAAAAATAACAATTCCATCAGTGAATTTAGCAGTACCCTATCTATATACAACGGCAGTGACTTTGGCTGCCGGGGAGTTGATAAGAAACAAATGTACTCTCTTTATAATATATATATATATATATATATATATATATATATATTCCGTTTTGTAGAATATTTATTCCATTTTCTAGAAGCAGGAGATCAATTTGAACATTGGGATAAGGTTATTATTTGCCCTTTTATGTGGAATACTTAGAAACTACACGTGTCAACTCAAGCCTTTCTTCACGAACTTCATGTTACAACTGCTCCTGACAAGGCATTGATCAGGTACATCACGAAGCATCCATCAGAGGTCCCATAACAAAAGTTCTAAGCAACATCCCAGTGCTTCTTGGTACTAAGGTTCCAAATAAAAAAAAAAAAAAAAAAAATCACCTAGCAGTCTGCATGCTGTTATTTTCACATCAGAGCAGGCTGATGAGGAAGGTGATACAAACAAACCATATTTACAGGCTCTTCCAGGCTCACTGTCTCCCAAGAGCAGGTACATTAGCGGCACCCTTTTCGTTATGTTTGTCGTCATCATCATCTAGTCTCAGTAACCCCCTTGTATGTAAGCATTCAGGCGGTCCAGCTCCTCCCTGTGCTCGCTCACCACAGCACGGACAACATCTCCGATCGATACCATGCCAATCATTTCCTTATCATCAATCACAGGAATGTGCCTGATGCGGTTATCTGTCAACCATTACAGGTTTCAAGCTTTATAACATCTTTCATTTGAGACAATGATTAATAAACTAGCAAACGGAAACATACTGCACTTAGCAGTGTGTATGTACATAATACCTGTCATCAATTGCATTGCCTTCAGAACTTTGGTATCAGGGGTGACAGTGATAAGCTTGTTCTGCAGCCACCAAGCATGATTTAGCAAACCTGTGAACAACTTAATACAACCAACTTATGCTCTTGTAAAGACATGGCATTATACCTCTTCAGTCATGATGTCCCCAACCTTGGTTGACTTGGATGATCTTCCCTGCACGATGATCTTCCGCAGATAGTCTGGAAGTTTTCAACAAACAAAATTAATTTCAATTGACAAGTACTAATGCCTCAAACCACATTCTATCAATCATATATATATATATATATAAAACAAAATTAATTTGCAAAAGGAGCTTCAGGGACATCCAAACACCTATTACAGTAACTTAAATGAGAAAGTGATTGTTATGGGGAGGTAATTGGAAACTGAGAATACTCTAAGAAAGAGGGGGTAAGTCATTATATTTATGCGATTCAGATTACATCCTCCACTAGTAAGGGTTCCAGAAGGTGGACTGAATATGCTATTCAGATGCCATAATCCAATTTTTCATACGTCAGGAAAAAGAAGAGCCAAGTGGTTCCCTGATTCTATTCAGTGGTGCTTGCCAGTTACAGGTGAAAGATGCTTAGGATGGTTCTGAAGACGGCCAGGATACCCAACTAATCTACTAGCTAGGGCAATGTGTCAACACACAAGCAAACATGCAGAAACGGATCAGAAATCCAGTGATGACTGATTTCTTGAAATCAAATAGTTGAGCAAGTTGTCTCTACAACAGTCCTAATGCAGGTAATGATTTCTCCACCACAACAATCTTTTGAGGAAAAGGTTTTTTCCTTTTTTTCCACAAGATCACAGGAAAAAGAGTGAAATAAAGGTCTCTCTTCACAAGAAAGCACTATATCCGATCCATAAGCTGCAGGGCCTACTGGGGAAACACTAAGATGGGCTATATGTCCTGACAGCCAAGAAGGAATTTCTTATTGCACGAACGTCTCCCTCATTCTCACTTTCTTTCCAATGTGGGATGCCACGTGTACAATCAACTTAAGGAGGTGTTACAAATAAGTGCAGTGAGGGGGAAAAAAGGAAAGAAGAAAAAAACAAGTTGAAATGTCAAAAAAATATGTAACTAATCTAAGAAATTGTAATAAAAACTTCTTGAATGATTAGTACTAAATCCATGATGCATGATAGACTATGAAATTAAATGCAACTACTAAAGAAGAAAATGGAAAGGAAGAGATATTATGATTTCCAAAGGAACTGCGAGAGATATCATGATTTCCAACTACCTTAAATGGTTTCATGTATATGCAAACCTTAATCCATAAGCTTTTTGAATACAGTATGAAATTTTGAAATACCTCTCTCTGTGATGATTCCTGCAATTGATTTCTGCTGTCCAGGTTTGACAACCACTAAGGCTCCAACATTGTGCTGTGTCATCTGCAGAGAAATGCTTTATTAGCTCAAATGCTAAAGAAAAGTGGAATATGCTTGGAATAATTTTCCAATCAACTAATGATAATAATGATAACAAGTAACAACAGGCACAATAGCTAATACTGAAGTCAAGGTGATTACCGACTTCACAGCATCATAAACAGTGTCATCCGTAGTGCACCAAAGCCATGAGCCATCTGCACTTTTGCCTTTTGCTTTGAGGATGTCGGTAATTCTGGTACTCTCGAAGCCATGCTCTTCTATAAGAGCAGACGAGACTGATTCAAAACGACAAAACACATTAGGCCGCAAGAGTGGACTCAAAACACGGACGTGTTGCAAGAGTGCATCCTTGACAACATTTCCATGGGTTAAATATGCGCGAATTGTCCCTTGCATTTTTTTTTCCTGTGAAAAAGAGAGAGGTTATAGCTGTTAGGCTAGAGAATTTTGAAGCAAACAAGGTGTCTGGCTGCCATATCCAGTATAGTATACGGTTTTCTAAAAGTAAAAGAATCATATGTAAAGAGGAGTAGTCTGGTCGGTTAGGAAAACTTGAAATAGTTGGCACAAGTGAGAAAACAGTAAAGCATTCAAGCAAATTTTGAGGCATATGGATATATACTCTAAAAAAGAAACTATGAAAAAAGGAAGAAATGGGAACACATGTGTATGTATAGTTATAGCACAGGAAGTGATAATTTAAGTTTTAAACATCGAATTAAAGCAGCAGGTCACGAGTCGAGACGATTAATAACACATTAGTAATAATTGTTAAAGCGAGAGAGGATTAATTAAGATGACTATGTATATCTGTCTACTCGCTCCATGAATCAATAAACAATAAACGGGCGATTGATCTAATAAAGGATATTCATCAGATGCATGATATTGCTAGTCCTAATCATGCCTTGGATCTAATCATTATATATCCATGGAAGCTAACATAGCAATAGCAGAGCAAGAAATGAATGGATAAGTAAATCATTAATGAATTGGATGGACAAAAAGTATATATCTTGATTGGTGATGGATAGATAAGTAAATCATTACTGTGTATATATATATATATATAACACTTCGTATATGAGTCTTGTGTTATCATAGTGTATGTAGTAGTAAGTATTCCTATCGGACTGCTTACTTCTACTTTGATACAAGAAACTCAACACAAGATCTTTCAGATAAACAAACTGTTTGTTACTTATATGTCCATCCAATTCCAATCCATGTCACATGTTGGTGATGGTGATGAGGGATGGTGATCAATCTGTCATCGAGATCTATCTAAGGTAAGATATATAGAGATGAGAAGGAAGAAATTGAAGAAGAAGAAGAAGAACGGATGAATACCTGATAGAAAAAGGCGGAGAGAGTAAAATCTCAAGCAAAGAAGAAAAAGACGAAGAGAGGAGAGCAATATCAGAAAAGGTGAAGGGAGCAGCAGCAGCAGCAGAGCTATCAATGGGCCCACCAATACAACCTAGTTGAGACCTGAGATAAACTTTACCCCTTATAATACTCCATATTATTATTATTATCCTGTTACTAGTAAAATAATAATAATAGAAAATAGAAAAATGGTAGGATAAAGTTGTGGATAGATACAGACCATTAGCCATAGAAAACAACTGAGTCCTGAGTCCTCAGTCTGACTCACTCGAGCGAGTCACACGATTTTTTTCTCCTCCTCTCCATCAGAGGACACGTGCTCTCTTTCTGTAACCGTCTGTGGCTAAAAAGCAGCAGCAAGCACATGCAGCACGCGGTACCACAACAGTTTTGGGGTTGTGTTAACTGTAGCAGTTAGTAGCTCCTTTTATCTGACGAGATAAAACATGGGCCCAATATTTTGAGTTGGGTTATGGGCCCATTTTCAACATTGGGCCCCCGGTGCCATTCAGGTTTGTTGAGTCTCTTTCGGACTCAGTGTCAAGAGCACTCGTTGCTTCATCCAGGAGCAAAATTGCAGGCCTTTTTAGTAGAGTTCTAGCAATGGCTACCCGTTGCTTTTGTCCACCTGAAAGTTCTCAGCCCCTCTCCCCTGCAACTGTATCATATGCTTGCGGCAAATTACACGCAAACTCGTGTATATTTGCTTCCCTTGATACCTTCACAATTTCAGTTTCAGAAGCCCCTTCATTCCCATAGATGATATTGTCTCTGATTGAGTAGTTAAAAAGAAGTGGCTCGTGTTGCCCCCACCTGATTTGTCTCTTCAACTTTCTCAGATTGTATTCTCTTACATTCTTGTTATCGATTAGAACCCTTCCTTCTTTAGGATGATGGAATCTTAGCAAAAGGGCCAAAACTGAGGACTTTCCGGATCCACTTGGCCCAACAAGTGCCACCTTTAATCCAGCTTCAATTTGTAAGCTGAAGTTGAGGAGAACTGTCACTTCTGGTCGTAATGGGTAGTTAAAATGGATGTTCTGAAATCGAATTCTCACATGATCTTTTCAAGATCTGAACTGTCTGGAACATCTGATTCAATTTTGGTCTCCCGGTCAAGGGTTTCGAATGCAGGAGTCAGTGCACCAATGTCAGAGATGATAGTGGGGATCAGTGTCGATAATTCTGTGACTGAAGGTACTGTAAGAAAGAAAATCTGTTATCATCTTATGCCATCTCCGAAGGTGGCTTGATGTTTATCAACTAAATGTGTGGTGTACAACATAGCGACGGCGTGTGCAATAGTCCATAAACAAAGGGAAATGCCCTGAATGAGCCTATACTTGATGCTTTCTTTCCTGCTCCTCCATTTTGGTTTTTCCAGACATGTCTTTGCTTTCTTGAGAATTGGCTCTTCATGGCAAAATGATGCAATGGTTCTTATGTTGGCTGTGGACTTGGAAGCCAGTTCAACACGTTCATAATGCGCAGCATCAGTCTCACCTGAAAATCCTTAGGCGGAAATGGCAAGGCATCACTGCCCAAGCCACCATACCCGTTCTCTAGTTGACAACTATGCTAACGATTGTTGCAATCAGAATGGAGAGGAGACATTGGGCAATTACCGACATGCGATAGGAGATTATGACTTTGACCTTTGAGGTGTAAAGCATGATCCGATTTAATTCGGTAATTAAAAATGTAAAATTGAATTAATTTTGTTTGTTTGGTTTGGTTTTTAAAATTTTTAATTCGACTTAAATTCTCTCTCTCTCTCTCTCTCTATATATATATGGTCCAAAACCAAACCCACCCACCCCCTGATTGAAAGGCCCTTTTGCTTTCAGACTCTATCACGCCTCTCTAGCTGTCCCTCTCTCTGTCCTCTCTCTTTCTCGCTACTGTCCGGCCACCAGCCAGGCAGCCACAACTTCTTTCATCTCCATTCTCCAGTCCTCTTGCATCTCTCTTTCTTATTCAAGGTAAGAATTGAAATCTAAATTTGATGTTTACCGATGTGCGTTTGAATGTTTTGGTTGCTTTGATTGTTGGAGGATTTGTTTCTTTGATTATTGGGGTGGTGGTTATTCGGTTTCAATGAGTTCTATGTTCGTTCTTTTCCTTTGGTTCCTGACCATAGGAACCACTGTCATTAGCTTCAGTTATGGAATCTCCACTGTAGGTTGTTTTGACAGTGAGAGAAAAACTCTTTTGATGCTCAAGCAAGATATATGAGATCCTTCAAACTTGCTAGGGGCTGGTGATGGGGATTGTTATGGATTTGCTGGAATTGCGACAGTATGACTGGCCATGTCGGTTATTAAAAAACTGAAACCGAAAAACCAAATGCTCACTCCTAGACTTAGTACTATTACAAATTCTTACGCTCTTAGATGTTACAAGTTACAGCCAACCAACAATACGCCAATTGCAGATTTAAGACATTTCTGCTCATAATCAACCTTTGTCTTTAATTATTAGTTTCTCTCTTTTCTATTGACAATGCTAACACTGCAATAAATTTTTTCTTCAAAATTATGGCTATATCAAGGCAATGGAAGGAAATTTGAATGAATTTCGAGTAGGGAAGCTGCCAACTGTCATCTACGTGCCTAATTTTATCACACAGACAGAAGAATCTCATCTTCTACAAAAGGTGGCAATACAGTCTTCAGTAATTTTTAACTTTTTCAATGTGGATTTGGCTTTTTCTTTATTCTCTTTCTTTTCACTGGACTCGCTCTATGTTGGCTTTGCAGATTTACGAAGCCCCTTTATCAAAGTGGAAATCTTTGAAGAACAGAAAACTTCAGAATTGGGGTATGTTGGAAAACAATTAATTGTTTATTTACTCTTCTTTCTCTCTACCCTTTTTTTTCTTTTGGCAAACTACACACAGAAGAAGTAGTAGACTAAAAGGTGCACAGAATTTCTTCGAATGATAGTAATTCCCTCCAGTATCCTTCGTCTTTGGTATTAACAGGTGGTGTTGTCCACGAAAAGGGTCTTCTACCTCAAGACTGTAAGTGGAAATAAATTTTAGATTTGTTTTATTATCTCTACAAGGGCTTGAGAAGTTGCACAAATGTTAGTAATCTACCATGCTTTGAGACATATTTCTCTTCTTGCGTTATAAAATTTGTTCCTTGTATAGTTTTTTCCCTCGAAGATTAGGGTTCAGACTTGCAAATTGGAACTTCCTTTCATGGTTTACATATCCTGATATCTGCTTCAGTATATCAAGTTAAAATCAGCCCTTGGCTTCTTCTGGAATTGGAAATTACTGATTCTGTAGTTGTCTCTTGAAAAAAAAGAAAAGTATGCAATTCAGTATCTGTTGGCAGCTTAGTTTCAATTGTGCTAGTCGACCACTTCTCAGTTTGTTTTTCTATGGTGTTAAATGACAATAATTACTAGTTTAAGGTGGTTAAACTGAGTGGGGAAGTGATTTTCTCCACCTATTTGGACCATTTAGGGAAACAGTCCCCTTTGAATGGGGGGAATGTAACGCCATACACTAATGTTTAGCCCAATTTATAGGGAACGTTTAATACTTCTGGGAGGTCTCGAGTTTGAGCTCCCTCTCCATCCTCTTCTGGATTAAAAAAGCTAAGGTTTAGTTGCCTTCTTTGAAAGCTTTTTAAAGCTACATTTGAACAGGTTGAGAACATGTCTTTTGGAAATTGTCATGCTCGTGATTTAAAGTTGACAACTTTTTATTTCAATGGGTTTCTAATGTGATATGTTATTTTTAAGACTTCTGAGCAAACTCCATTGCAGTGCCTCCCTGGTTAACGAAGATTACACAAAGAATATCAGAAGAATCAGGGTTGTTCCCCTCAGCAATTAATCACGTTCTCATCAATGAATACCTTCCTGATCAAGGAATTATGGTTTGTTTCTTGTTGTAACACAAGTGCTCATTGCTGGTGGCCTACCCTTGGAAATCTTAGTTCTTCATGTTTTAAACTGTCACTAATTAGTGTTACAAGCATTATCACTTTAGCATTATGTTTGTTTCAGAAAAGGAATTATACGTCTCATCCCTGCAATCTAAGTTTGCTACAGTACATATCAGCAGAATTGTGAACTCTAGTTCTTATTTTCTTTATTGTTTCTCATACAGCCCCACCAGGATGGACCTGCATATTTTCCCGTTGTAGCTATACTTTCTCTTGGATCGCCTGTTGTCATGGACTTCACTCCGCATTCAAGGTTAAGAACATGTACAGATGCATTGACAAATGATGTTGATGAACAAAATTTTGGCAGAGAAGCTAAAGAGACTGAGACAGAACAGATGGATAATCCCGAACCTTCTTCTGTTCTATTGATGCCTCGGAGTCTACTTATATTCAAGGACAACGCCTACTCAGGTGGCTTCTGATGTTTTCCTTTTCTTCTTGATGCAAAAGAGATCACTTCCAAAACATCTCAGCATTTGCATGCTTTTGATTCTGTATGTTCTAAGAGTACCCTAAACATATGCTAAAAAACTGACATCATTATGCTCTGGTTTCCAGACTACTTGCATGGTATTAAAGATAGCCAACTCCATCAATATGATAAGGTAATTAAGAGTATTAAGCTGTAAATTGAAGACATGTTCCACGATGGATTGGTAGGCTCAATATGGCTTGTGTTCTCAAATCGTCCCTTTTCAGGCAATAAATGAAGTTGAAGCTCTTCGTGATAAACTCAATGAACCCTTCTTTGGCTCTGAGAGTGCTGTTCAAGCTGTGGGAGGGGGAGATCTGAAGGTCATCCATCGGGCAACAAAAAGAATTTCATTGACTTGTCGATTAGTGTTGAAGGTTCACAAGAACATATTTAAGGTTTAAAACCTATTTCTATGTACTTAGTTTTGTTAACTGAAATTGCACATTCTAAGTTGTTGGAATCGTAGTTCCTTGTCCTTTTTTCTTTTCATTTATTACTTCATTTAGCTTTAGATCAAGAGTTGGTCTATGACATGCGTAGACATATTGCACTTGGTTAATTTAAATAAATAAATAAGGAAAGAGGCCTAATTTACAAGTTTGGTGGGAGCCTAATGGGAACTATATTTCTTATATTTGAGAATGGAAACGAGTTGTTTGATGCAAAACACCACAATGACATTGCAAATGATAAAAAATAAATTAAAATGGTTGACTTGTGAACAAAAAATGTTAAGCTATAAATAAAGAGTTATTTGGAAATGTATTTTAACTAAAGGACCTATTTGAAAATAATATAAACGCGATACCTAATTGAGTGTTGTTCAATAATTAAGGGACCAACAAGTATGTTTGTGCTAAAGGACCTATTTAAAAAAACCAAAAAAAGAACCTCGGCACAGGAACTAAAAAGTGTTGGAATAAGATTTTATTTCCATCAAAATTGCGCAAAATCACGGTTGCTGCTACGAAGAAAATAATGGTGTTTTGAAATAAGACAACGTTTGTTACAGAAATATATCCACTTTGACAGTTTCAACCATCAAGTTTTTCAATTTAGATTGCCAAAAGTATTAGGGTGAGTAGCATTTGATTAAAATTGATCAATTGAATCGAACTGAATGAAAAACTGAAGCACCAATTCGATTTGGTTATTAAAAAATACACGAAAACTGAATTAATTTCGATTATTCGATCTCAATTGAGTTTTTAAAATTTTTAATTAGGTTTAAACCGAAAATTCAATTATATATATATTAAAAAGCAAAAACCAAACAAAGCCTAAGCTTAATTGAAATTCCCTTCAGCTTTCAGACTGTGTCACACCTCTCCAGCCGTCCCTTCCTCACTCCTCACTTTCTCTTTTGCGCTGTCCGCCACCAGCCAGGCAGCCACAGCTTCTCTCATCTCCATTCTCCATTCTCCAGTCCTCTCGCATCTCCTTTTCTTATTCAAGGTAAGAAGTGAAATCTAAATTTGATGTTTACTGATATGGGTTTGAATGTTTTGGTTGCCTTGATTACTGGAGGATTTGTTTCTTTGATTCGTGGGGTGGTGGTGGTTATTCGGTTTCAATGAGTTCTATGTTCATGCTTTTCCTTTGGTTCCTGACTAGAGGAACCTCTGTCATTAACTTAAGTTATGGAGTCTCCATGTAGGCTGTGTTGAGAGTGAGAGAAAAACTCTTTTGATGTTCAAGCAAGATATAGTAGACCCTTCAAACTTGCTAGCTTCTTGTGCCGGTGATGGGGATTGTTATGGATGGGTTGGAGTCGTTCGCGACAACATGACTGGCCATGATTTTGTATCTGATGAATATTTTGCTTCTCAGAATTCAATGTTGGGTGGCATACTAACTCCCTGCTTGCTCAATTTGAAACATTTGAATTACTTGGATCTGAGCAGCAATAATTTTGAGGGCATACATGGTTTGTTGTTGGTTTGATTCATAGATGTGCTGGATTTTTTTTCACAGGCCAAACTCAACCTGCCGACATACCTTCAAAGCAAGGTTGTTAACTGTCTTTAGGTGTCAAAATGCACATACAAAGTACTTGAAATAACTTTTAAGGTCAAATCTAATGATTTCATTGGAATTTGAATCTGATCAATAGCAGCTTGATTATGTTTTAAAGTATTTCCAAGTATTTAAAGGCATCATGACTATTATTTGTATAATATATTTTATATTATTGGTTAGTAGGTTGGCTATGGGTTTAGCAGTTGAGAGACTGGCCTATTATTAACCTAATTTCTAGCTGTCACCTTGATGCATTAAAGCAGAATTGATTGGGCAAGATGCAAAGTCTCCATATTCAGTTAATAGATTAGAATGTGACTAGGCAAAGTTCATGGCTTTTGGTGAATCCATCTTTTGCAATTTTAGGAAATTTCCTTTTTCTGACACATAGTTGCGAAAATGAGAGCTCTTTTTCCTACTTTAATCTGTTTGTTAGCGTAGTTGACGATTCAGAATTTATAAAGATAGGCAGCCTGACTAGGCCATGCAGGATCCTTTTCTTTTCTGAATCCAAGGATGTAGAAAAATTGACATGTTTGTCAGGTTTCTGTGTTTACATATTTACTAGGATTATTTTTATTTGTATACATATGCACTAACTTAACTGGATTTTCTTCGTATTGTAATGGTCTTAAATGTGTAAATGGAGACTGTGTACTGGTCTGGGGCTCCCAACTACCATTTATTGTTCATGTTTGACTAGACCTTGGAATTCAGTAGGAAAAAAAAAAAGTTTTTTTGTGAAAAACCAAAACCGAAATTTCAGTTTCATAGACCAAAAAACTGAACACGGGTTTGGTTTGCATTCGGTTTTTCTTTTGGTTAGTTTGGTTAACCGAAAACCAAACTGAAATGTTAAAAACCAAAACCAAAAAACCGAATACTCACCCCTAGTGTTTAATTGATTGGCTTTGCCTTTAAATTGTTTTTTTTTTGGAAAAAAATTCCTTCTAATTGGCATTAGGCATCTTAGAACATTGTTTTGAAATCTTGATTTAGTAGGTTTTACCTTTCAGCCTTTACCTATACAAAAATATTGCTATGTCCTGTATTGCGCTTATAAAGTGTGAATGATATAGTCCTCTTGGTGTAGAATAGAACAGCTTAATCATTGTAGATACTGATATGTGATGAGTTTTTATGATTTGGGTTAACGTTAGAGAGTGGTGACCTTATCCAGATGGCCATGGTGAATGTGTTCTATAGATCTTGTCTTACAAGTGTGTAGGACATAATCATGAAGCTAGAGTCAGACTTCATAGTTGCCTGCCTGTAGAAGATCACCACTCAAAGTTTGAATTCAATATGCAGGATTGTTTGTAGAGATCAGTTCGTGATTAGAAGAGGAAAGGAGGCAATCTCCAGAGGCACACTGCAGGTATAATCCAAATTATTATTATTATCAATATTATTTTAAGTTATGCTAAGCATCATGAGATAATCCATAGGCCCATAATTATAACTATATTTGAAATTTATTATGATTTTTTAGGTGTGAAAGATAAATGAAAGGCCAAAAAGTCCAGCATCACTTAATCTTCATATCACGTGACATCCAGAACTAACTCTTTTTTTTCCTCTTGGAACTTTCCCATTTTGCCTTGATTGTTGGATGTCAATTTTTTCCAAGGCTGTTGGTCCATGATCCTTGTCTATGATAGTTGTCAGTCTCAAATTGGAGTAGTGCAAGCCACAAGTTTAGTCTCAGCAAGTTTCTTACTCATGAAAGTTTAAATTCACTCATCCATTAATTTGGGAACTCTAGCTAACCACCATTTTTATTGTAAAATCAAAATTATAAAATGACTAATCACAATAATCCACCATCAATAAATCTGCTCTTTAAGTCGCTCTCTTAGTTACAATTACTAATCCCCTTACTGTAATGGCAATCTGCCAGTACATACTATCTGTAAAGATCATATCCACTACTAGATCTTTATATAGTCTTTTGCATAGCCAGTCCATTTCTTAAAGTAGCAAGCAGTTGCCAGAGTTTGTTTCTGATAGCTTTAACTTTTTAACTTGCTAATCAACCCTGATAGGATGGTCGAAGTTTTAACTAGATAGCAAGTTACAAAATGAATAATTTTTTACAACCTCCTAATTTGCTAGCTTGCAGTTTTTAGCCATTAGCCAACGACCAACCATTACTGACAATTACAAGTTAGAAGCTCACCCTTTTCTTTTTCCTCTTTTAATTAATGTACAAGAATACACAGCGAGGTTGATGAGGCTAATCATATATTTTTTGTCTGTGTATCCCTTATGTTCTTATTCCTTATCAATTAAAAGTAATAGCAGTAGTTGTTTTATGTCTGAGTAGAGTTAGATTTTTAATCTCTTTGAACAATGGCTAGTTCTTAGAAGTTCACTTTCCAGTTAAAACTTGAAATGCAATTTAGGGTTTAGGGTTTAGGGTTTGGGTCTAGGGTCTTGGGACCCTGGGGGCCGGGGTCGAGGTATAGCGTATTTTAGAGTTTGGGGTATTTTTTACAACTAACCTCTAAAGTTTGATTTTAGCGTTTCACAAGAGCGATGTGCTTGCTCAATGACAGATATTTTCTTTTGGAAGGCAGATAATTTGGATAGTTAGAGATGTTGGGTAGTGATGGAACAAAGAAGTTATCGTTTAGGCAGTCAATCAGAGATGGAGATTTGGTTATTGTGTACGAGAAGAGAGACGTAATGAAGGCTGTAGAAGTATGTGAGACATCAGTGCTTCAGAATCGTTTTGGTGTATTTAAACATTCGGATTGGATTGGAAAGCCTTTTGGGTCTAAGGTTTTAAGCAGCAAAGGTGGATTTGTTTACTTATTAGCTCCAACTCCTGAATTATGGACTCTGGTTTTAAGCCACAGGACTCAGATTCTTTATATTGCTGATATTTCCTTTCTCATCACCTACTTGGAAATTGTTCCTGGTTCTTTGGTGCTTGAGTCCGGTACTGGTAGTGGATCTTTAACCACCTCACTTGCTAGGGCTGTCGCTCCTACAGGACATGTCTATACTTTTGATTTCCATCAACAAAGGGCTGCCTCTGCCAGGTAAACATGTCTATACCTGTTTTTAATTTTTACATATATTATACTATCTCTCAACTCAACTTGAACTAGCTTCTTGTTTTTGTTATGATAAGTCTCTCAAATTTTACATATATATATATATATATATATATATATATATATGTTAATTAATTTGCTGAACCATGTCTTTCTAATTACAATTTTGAACAATCCAAACTTTAAACAAAGAGTGGGGCAGCAATAAGTCTCAAATATATATATATTCAAATTTTTTTTTTATTAGGGAAGATTTTGAGAGCACAGGAGTGAGCAGTTTAGTGACAGTGGGAGTTAGAGACATCCAAGGTGAGGGATTTCCAGAGGAATTTTCTAGGTTGGCTGATTCTGTTTTTCTGGATCTACCCCAACCATGGCTGGCCATTCCGTCAGCTGGGAAAATGTTGAAACAAGATGGGACTCTGTGCTCCTTTTCACCTTGCATTGAGCAAGTACAGCGATCTTGTGAAACTCTAAATTCTAACTTTAGAGGTTAGTTGTATTGTTGTATTGTCACTGGTTTCATCATCGATTCCTTAGGAAAAAAAACGCATTTTTTATTTGTTAAATTCCCGTAGTCTATATATTCCCCTCCCTTTTTTTTTCTTGCAAGTTTTCTAGTCAGGCTGTTGATTGTAATTCACATTCAGTATCTATTTTTGGATACTAATGCGTTTGTGGTGGCATGTAGATATAAGGACATTTGAGGTACTGCTTCGGACATATGAAGTTCATGAAGGGAAGATGGATAGTTTCCAGAGCAATGAAGGTGTTTCTCTTAGGTCTCCTCCTTGCAAGAGGAGACAACGCTCAAGTGAAAGCAACACTGTGCATGACAGCTCAAGTTCTCCTGCAGTCATGGCTAGACCATGTGCTGATGCAAGAGGTCACACTGGCTATTTGACATTTGCAAGACTCAAATGTCTCTCATAAAGAATTGGGCAAGCTTATCCATCCTTTTTTTTTTTTTTTTTTTTTTTTTTTGGGCCCTTGTATTTGATAGGCTAGAAAAGTTTTGAAACAAAAATTTTCGAATTTATATTTCCCTTTTGACTCTTATGTTTAAGCTGAAGGACCTATTTTAAGAGAACCTCAGCTCAGGAACGAAAAAGTGTTAGAATAAGATTATATCTCCATCAAAATTGTGCAAGATCACCCTGCTGCTATGGAAAAAATAATGGTGTTTTGGAATAAGACAATGTTTGCTACAGAAATATAACCACTTTATAAAAATACATCACCTTGATAAACATATTGTTACCCTTTCAAAAACCTCACGAGTCCTAGACTTAATGAACAGGACATGATGCAAAAGAAATAGCTATTAATTAGTATATTTTTTTCTGTGTTAAATTTCATCTTAAAATCTACAAAAGAACAGTTTCTGTCTGCTGAATGGAAAGAGCTAGGGGTCACCATCTAAACTTCCAGCTTCAGGACCTTATTGAAAAAGCAGAGCACAATAGCCATCTATCCACCTGCATGAATGATGGTTACAGTTCTGGAACGACACAAGTGGGTTAATTCATGGTGACCATAAAAATAATCTTGCTGAAAATTACAATAATCACTTGATGATTCACCAGCAGAAGCTTGTATAATCTGTTGCATATGGTCATTTGGACCCATGAGCTCTTTAAGGTGAAGAAACATACTTAAAACAAAATAAACAGAAGCGAGAGCACATAACTAGTAGTGCTATTTGCTTTGTTGAAGAGTGGAAACGAAGGCAAAATAATGGTTAGGATAATGAACTTGATAGGATGATCGGTTGATTGTCTATGGCAGTCAGTCGTAGATATCAGCTACAACAGCAAACCATTAACATGGGTTTACATGGTATAGAACCAACTGACAAATAAACATTAATAAGAAGCCCGAACACATGAGCAAAGCATGCCCACACAAACGTTCGGACAATTATTATTATTAGTTTTGCGAACAAGTATGGTATCTTGAAATTTATTAAAGGAACGTGGAGAGAAACAAGGAGGAGACAAACCAGCCTAGCCTAATAGGGAGGAGGACAAGGAAGCCTAAACCCTTGAGATAAAATTACAAGAAAGTTCCCTGAAACCTGCAGTATAGTTTTGAGGATAAAATAAAAACCCAACTATTATTATCAACTGGTGTAATAAATCTCCAAGGACCTATTCGCTAGAGGCAATTTTAATTGGGATGAAAGGTATATAGGCCTATTTTGTCATCCGATAATCCAGCTCTGCAATTTATTGGAAGCTCTTGAGGTGAGAAAACAACAACATTGGACAGGTGTTGAAAGGCCCAGTTTGCAAAGCTTATCTGCGACCTTGTTACCTTCCCTATGAACATGTTGGATGTTCGTAATAGCTTGGAATTTTCCCCAGCATTCTCTAAAAATGTAAATCAGTTGCCATGGGAAAGCGCATGAGCGCCTTAGGCCTCTTATAACCAAGGAAGAGTTTGCTTCAATAATCTCTACCCTGTAGTTATACTTGGCATAGATTTTGATGCCTTCAAAAAGTGTCAAGGCTTCTCTTTTAGAGTTCGTGCCAGGACCGTTGCTATGCTCGTCACGCAGAACACCCCACACAAACAACAACCCCACCCCCCACCCCCACACCAAAGCCCCAACAAAGAAATTATTCTTTGATGCACCTTCAGCATACCTATTGGGGGATACTGTCATTTAATTCACCTGCCTTTTAAATGCAGGGAAGGTTGTAAATGGATGCCCAAAACTAAGAAGCATAATCTGTCATGAAACGAGAGCTGCTTCTTGGGAGAGTGAAGCATGGAGATATCACTCAGCTAATGTAGTACTTTGTACTTGATATGACATCCATTCATTTTCCTCGGACAATTATATAAAGCTGAAATGACCCATTTTCAAAGATCTGCACGGGATTAAAAAATCAGGAACACACATAACGCAGGTAATATGGCTGAAACTGCTATTTGCCAACTTTACATTTATAATTCAAGGCCCATCCCAACGGAGTAAAAGCCACGTGCAAAAACAAGAAGCTCATATACAAAATAGCGAAGAAGGGACAACTTTTAATCCAGCTACCTAAAATAGCACAGTTTTAATTCCTGTCCCTCAAAAACTCTTCGTTTACTAGCCAAAAATAACTGCCAAGTATTAAAACAAAGCTATCAAAGGTAACAGGTGTGCTCTAGGAACTAGGTGCCAAGAAGCACTCAATAAGGTGCCGTGTTCTTAAACTTGTAGATGTGTTACAAGCATCTAAAATTGCTGTGAAAAAAGATGCAGAGGAATAGAGAGAATACTGATTAAAATGTTGGGAAAGGGAAACAATTACAGATTTTTGCTGCAATTCTTGGACCGTAAACATCGTCATCCTTTCCCTCTAGCCGTCTTCAAGAAATAAAAACATACATGCCCCCAAAAGCAGTCTACATGAGTAATTCTAGAATCTGGCCCTACTGCTTTGCCCTTCAAATGTTTTCCGAGGAAGGAAAAAAGGGCTTTGGACAATATTTAGGTTAAACGGAGTTAAAGCAGATCGCTGACGAACTTGTTTACAGAGGACAGTTGCATTCACCTTAGATTTAATAGAAAGACAGACGGACCAAAGTATCACTTCATGCTTGGCTAAGCACGCATGTTTAATAATCAGAGTCGAAATAAATAACCTTCCTCCCAAAATCTTGCCATCATCCAGGACACAAGCTTCGAGGGTGCATTCTCATATGCTTTCAGGATAGTAGCATAAACAGGGAGAGGAAATTGATAGTGATGGAATCAGACCTTTTCATCTTCTTTGCAAACTGCAGATTCATTAACAGATTACAAGGAGGCTATGGAAGCACTGGTAGTGTATCACATAAATACAAGGCAATACATGGCACGCGCGGGCGGGCAGGCAAGAGAAAAAGGATATCAATAACACAAAACACTATTCAAATAAGTTCATATGCTCATACTTAACCTGCGAAAGGCTGCTGGTTTTATTCTTAATGGACCGTAGTTGCTCAAGAGCACGAATGTTATTTGAATGTGATGATATGAAATTCATGTAAGATGAATTTCTTGACGTAGCGAAGTACTGCTCAAACAAGAGATAAAGCTCATCTGCTGAATTCTACACGAAGTAACAAATTATGAGCATGTCAGAGAAATGCAAAAGGTTCTTCAATGGCATTAAAAAAATTATGATTCCCAAATACATTCCTGGTAAAATGCAACAATTTCAGTTGTCGATCTCCATGTTGTATACAGCAAAGAATGATGCATGGTGATCAGCACTTCGTGATACCTGAAGCCACAAATATGCAGTCACCATTACCAAAGTATTCCAATGCAAAGAACAAGGACTGATATGCATGAGAAAGTGACAATTGATCAAACTTCACGTTCCCTATTAAGGACTAGTGAAAGCATATTCCCACAAAGGCTTGCGAGGCCATATAAAAAATATAAATTGAACTGATAAAGGTTGAAGATAATTGCTAGAAGATCTGAGGATTACAAAAGTTATCTAGGATTTATCAGCTCAGATGCCAACATCTAGTTATTTAATTAACAAAGAATTCTGCAGATATCTTGCTGTTTGTAGAGGGCATAGTGTTCTTACCGACATATCATTATTAGAAGCGAAAGTTAAAACAAAGAAAATTAAGTGTTTATTGAGTTGCATAGGAGCAGGAAGCAATCGCAACAATTAGAAGCCACACGCTGTACTTAGGTGTTTTTATCATTCCACTAGAAATTCATGGCATTCAAATTCGTTACATGAAATTCCAGAATTCGATACACACGACTGAAACATTAATCATCCTTAATGCTGCCAATTGGGAGATTTAAAGGCAATCTTCTAGTGATGAAACCAATTAACTTGGATTTAGCAGGCTGTTCAAGATAAGGCTACATCTTTCAGAATGTTTCAAAAGAGCAGCCTGGCCGCTATATATCATCTGTTGTCCACGCATCCCAAATGCATTTCATTACTAAATTCACCCTATTAATAATTTTTTTGATATCATGCTCAATGGTTGTTGAAATAGACACAAATTTTCTTAAAAAAATAAAACTGATCACGGGCAAGGATAAGGGGAAGTGAGTAGAATTTGACAAATAAATTAAGTTGTACCTAATTAAAAGACAAAATTTTCAGTTTAACTTCAAAGTCCAAACTATTTAATTATACCATGAAACTCCATTTATGCAAGACACCTGGAAACAGCTCATCGAACCCTGTTTAATCATACCTCGACAGTGTTGAGGAAAAACCAATAGCACTCATCAGACCTTCTTTAATGCAATGATTGGAAACCAAACATTGTTTCCCTCTTCCTACAATATGAGGTGTAGGGTGAGATCATGGATTCAAATTCTGCTAACAGAATTGAGTTTGCTTGCCAAGCCAAGGAGCAATAGAAAAGTATACTTGCTGTTGTATTTCATGTTAACTAGGATAATATCTGCTTCATATGTTTTGAAAATGTGCCCTCTTTCGATGCACATGAGCATTTTATGATCTGAACATTTTCCTAACCACCCCATTTCCCTAGTTCTTGTTTTAGGGGTGATGGTGGTGTGATTCCACATACAGTCCGTGTAAATGATCATGCTCAGACCTTTGACATGATTAAAGGGATAGAGAGTATAAAAAGCCTCACTCCTCCATCAACACTCCCAAACTTGATTAGCAGATGATGAAGATCCAGGAATTGCACCTGTTCAAGAGTTTAAGTACAAATAATTAATTATATGTGACATTGATGGACATTATTTAAAGTTGCTCTAGCAATGAGTGTGAAAAAAAAATCATGATATGCAGCTCATCTACGAGAAGGGGGTACAGACATTTAGAAAACAAAAACTTTATTACCTCACCTTCCAAATAATCAAGTCGACATAATCTTGGAAATGGAAATTGAACTTCTTCTTCAAACACTGGACCCTCTGACAAAGCAGTGCTATTACTGTATGAAAATCCTTGTGAAATATTCAAGATAGTTCCCATCAACAAAGATACTAACCATTAAAAGCATTCCAGATCTGCCACACTGTTCCTCAGTGAAATAATTTTTAAAAATTTAAGTGAATACATTGATATAACACAAAATAAACAATTCCAAATTTTCTAAGTAAATAAATAAATAAAAACTTTGCATGCCTTGTAAACCATAAAGGTAATAAGACTCATCCACATTTCACTTCAAAGAACCAACAGGAGGAGAAACCCAACTAGCTGCAGCTCGCATTCTGGCCAAATTAGACCACATCTTTATACCATCAAAACTTCTAATCAGATCATTTCCTATATAGATGAAATGCTCATCGACAAACCAAGCCCAATAAGCAACTCTATGAAAAATAAGAGAGAATATGTTGTTTCAATTGGGCCTGGAATCCTTAAATATTAAATCATTTCGAGCTATCTAGATACACCAAAGCACACTATAAATAATTAAATACCAAACCTTTTCTTGCATACCAACAAAACAAAAATATGACCAATTCAAAAATATGTCATCGACTTAATCTGGAACCACCCAAATACCACCCCCACCAGCTAATGATATGAGACCATAAATTTCAAACTTCACTACTATATAACAAAATGTAACAAGAAATTCTATATTATATGTGCATAAATATAAAGCTGTTATGTACATATAGAAGTCGAGAATATGCAGTCCCCAAAACAAGTAACTAGTTATAACACTAACATTATCCATAACTTCATAAGTTATTTAACCAAAATACAAGCTTACAGACAATGACAACGTTCTATACTACATTAATATAAGGTAAGAAATGGAACTAGAAAATTTTTGAATTGCAGTATTTGTCGTTTACTAGTATATGAATCGTTCAAAACATCCAACAAGATGATGAGACTACATTTCAAAGATTGTCTTGAGGCCTTAACATAACAAGAAATTAAAATGCCAAATAACCAACCTGGACTTTATCAATTTCTTCACCACATATTCCTTGAAAAATGAATGAAAGTGAGCGTTGTTTAACACTGCTTAGGATAGAATTGGCTGAATTCGGCTCCTTACTTTGCACGCCATTATTGACCTGATTCCTAAATGATTGATTCAGTTTACTTTTGTCAAGCACTGCCATGCATTACAATCCATTAGCTCAACATTCAGTTGTCAGTTGCACAACAGGCACACAATTATTGAGTCCAACCCAATTTTATTTTATTTTATTTTATTCGAATTGGATCAGTCTAGTCCAACTTTCTTTTTCTTCTTCTTTTTTGAGTTGGACCGGAATCAGTCCATCCTAGTCACATACGGGCTGGGCTTAGCCTAACCAAAAACAAAAACAAAACTCTTTCTATTTTTTTTTTATCAAACTCATTCCTTTTTTCATTTTTCCCTCCCTCCCTCCCTCCCTCGCTCTCTCTTCCTTATTCTTCCTTCATCTTCTTCTTCTCCCTCTACCTTCCATGGATGAACTAGTTTCTCTTCCTTTTCCTTTTTTTTTTCTTTCCTTTTCTTCTTCTTCTTCCTCTCTCTTAACCTCATCTCTCTCCTTTTCTCTCCTTCTGCTCAATTTCTAGTCCATTCTCTCCTCCTTTCTGTCTTAATCCTTCTTTCCCTCTCACTTTATTAATCTCCCTCTTCCAATTAAATCAAAATTGAAAATTGAAAATTTTCTCCAATTTGGTCGAACCTTAAGTTTTTTATTTTTCCTTTAAAATGGCCTTAATTGGGTTGATTTCTCTAGAGATCAAGCCAATTCAAACCTAATTGAGTCGTTATTTTTAAAAATATCTAATTTTTATTGCTACCGAAAATCTCGAAACCCTAGCTTTTAATGCGTTCTAATTCGAGTTCGACTCGGGATTTAAACCCTAAATTAAAACTCCAATTAAGTTCCATTTTCCTTCCTTTTCATTATTCAACATCAATTTCAATCTACCATAAAAATCCCCAAATTGCAAAACCATAACTGATCGTAATTTGAAATTCCCAAAAATTTAGTTCAATTCCCAAATTCAAACCCTTTTTCGGTTTCGATTTCCCCCTTTTTTTAGTTTTGATTTTTCCTTTTTTTTTCGGTTTGATTTCTTTCTAATTTTTTTGAACTAATTTTTTAGAATGATTTTTTTTTCTCTTTATTTTCTCGTTTCCTACTATCTCTTTTAATTTTTTGGATGAATTGAATTGATTCCCGGACTAATCCCTCATTCCTTGTGTTTTTTGTTCGTTGCCTTTTATATTTGTCCTTGTGTTGGTTCCCCACTTGTTTGATCGTTGTGGGATTTTATTGTCGGGTATGGAGTGGGGATTTTTGATTGACGGGAAGTATGATGATTCGAATTATAGAGGATGGTTGTGGTAGGGCAACTTGTGGAGAGGTTGCTACCCGATTGTTATAAGTTGCGGTATGGTGAGGCTGCAGAAATTGGGGGATTGCATAGGAGATTTCGAGATCATGGAGGGTTTTCGAGGTTTATAGCGATAGGGGATATGCTTACGGGAGTTGCGGTATGGTGAGGGCTATGGAGGTATTGTGAAGATTTCTTACAAGGTAAGGCGGGATTGTAGAGGTACTATGGAGGTTGCTTGCGAGTTAGAGAAGTTAACTTGGGTAAGGAAGGTTATAGGAATCGCGAGCGAGGGAGATGCTGGAGCTTTACTTGTGGAGGGTTGATTGTAGGTTGCAAGATTGCAAGTTACTGGCGATGATGGTAAGGACATTGTACGGGGATGCAAAGGAAAATTGAGCGGGACGTGGAGGGGATTTGTCCCTTTATCCTAACTTTCTTTCTTTCTTTCTTTCTTTTGTATTTTACTTTTTGTAATTTTTTTTATTTTTGGTATTGAAATTCTAATATCAATAAGGATTTTGTCTAATTTCTTAATTAATTTTTTTCCAAAATAAAACAACCATGAGCTAAAATGGTTAAAAATTGGGATATGACATAGTACATGGCATGATTTAGAATCTAATTAATTTCATTCAAACCTTCTTACAGATTCTAGATGGTTAGTTTATTTATCGAGAAGACTTAATCTTTATTCATTCTTTCAATTTAATTTTAATCGATTCATACATGCCGGGAAAATATAATCAATGCAACAAAAGAAATTTCTTATAGTTGTGACTTGAATAAGAAAGTCCAATAGAACAACCAAAGGCACATAAGCATGCAATTAATTTTGAAATTTAGAATAACATTGTAACACCCCCAACCTAGGACCTTGTAGGTTGAGAATATTATCGCCATTAACCTACATTCAAAATGCAATGAATGTAAGCTAACAAAGCAATATGTCTTTCCTATGACATTACTAGGTACAAACTACACTTTAGAAACCTATAAATGATTAATAGGTCCTATGTTTCAGATCCAAAATGCATTATAAATTTTTCACATTTTATTATTTTACTTAGGTTTCTTGGATTGAACGGATTGGATTTATGATGCTCGGTTTTCCCAAATTCCTTTTTTATTATTCTATAGGAATTTATTTATTAATCACCCATTAAACAATACTTGAGTTCCTTTAACCATCTTAATTACCATTTATTATTATTATTTTCTTTATTAATTTAGCGATCACCATAAAACAATTTAATGAACTAACCATAAAACTAATGGTAACCATAACTAAGTCATTTTACTAGTATCGATTTGTTCCAAGTCCGAGTTACATACGAATTACACCTATTTACATATAAAACAATTTAATGCCATATACTGTAAAAATGGCTTATTTACATCATATTTTCAACTATTTTTCTACTTGTTCATAGCTTAACTTTGGTATAAAATAAACATATCATACTCGGTACATATACTATAATACCGAACACTAGAAAGAGAATCGCATGTAGAAGGTCCACTTGAAATCCGAAGCCCCATCCAAGATATATGCGATGCATGGATCCCTTGGTGAATAGTTCAATAGTGAACATTACCATTCTTATCCTTAGTGCGTACACCACAAAAAACCGGGTGAGTGATAGCTTAAAAGTTAATCTATGCATGCTATGCACATAGATGAAATGTATATGATAATCATTCGCATGCTCATCATAAACCCTTTTTTGTATCATAAAATCTTCATCATGAACGAGTCTAAAAATCTTTTCTATTTTTGGACATGTCCTATTATAGGAATTTTAGGATTTTCATAATATGTATAGAGAACCGGATCCGTCTATGGATACATCCTGTCAAATCACTAAAAGTGCATGTACGTATTTATCTATGCACGAACCATGAACCATAAAAGGTATGGAAAACCCGTGAAGCCTTCCTTATAAAAACCATGAAAGTCATGAAAACCATGAAATATTTCCAATTATTGTTGGAAAATGTCTTGAAATAAAATTCTCTTTTTCATGATTTTAAATCATTTTCATAAACTCTTTTCCTTGACTTGGCATGCATATTCATTTTAATGTTAATGCATGATCATTATAATTCCATGTAATGCATGCCATTAATGTGTGCATTTATGTCATGAAGATGGATGATTCAACATTATAAATGCACCATAATTTTCATATCTTACATTGCCATTCTAATTCAATCCAAGTCATGAAATAATTAAATCAACTATCACATAAACATGTACTAACCACGTTGCTCAGCACAAGTCATGGACTTTCAATCAACCAATGCACACATAGAAGTCACACATTCACATTGTATGATTACACATAAATCAAATTACAAATAAGTCATTGAAACCAATCAAAAACCTAATTTCTTAAGGTTAGCCAAAATCATCCGTAACTTCGATCAGGGAAATTTTTCCAAGTTCTATAATACTTTCTCACACTAATTCAATCAAATACATTTTTATATCAAGAACTTGATCAATTAAGCATTCATAAGTTAAATGCATACAAAAATCCTAAATTGGACCTAATGGGTTGAAACCCTAATTTGAGTAATCTAGGTTAATTTTTCATACCAATTCATCTTTTTAGGCTAAACTAACTTAGAATTCACCAATTAAACCATTAGGAATAAAAAAAATGAAAACCCTAATTTTCTCCTAAATTGGGCCAAATATGGGCCTTGGGAAATTAGGTAAAAATTTTCAACTTCTTATAAATTTTTTCACATTCAATCATCAATTTATGCTTGAATAACATATAATCATCCAATAAATCATCAAACAAACCAAAAAAATAAAAAATCCATAAATTCACCATTTGGTTGAATGTTTTCTTTGTCCTAACCCTAGGAGTTTTTTATTTTTTTCTCATCAATTTTAAGCTAACATTTTATAACTTCAATTGTAAGAATTTCAAACTCAAAATCATTTTCTCTAAATTTTTCTAACTAAGAACTCTAACCCTAATTTTTAAAATTAAAGCAATTAAACACAAAATTAGGGCTCTAAAATTAAAAATAACATACAATCATGCTTTCTTGTGGTGTAGGTGAGATTAACTTACCTAATTAGTTCCTAATTAACCCTTGAAAAGTTGGATTTCTTTGCAATTTCTTTCTCACTCCTCTTCCTCTATAATTCGACCAAGCACTAAGTTTTTCCTCCTTGGAATTCTTTGTGTTCTAACTTGATTTCTATGCTTGATTAGGTGATTTAAGGTGTTTAGAAGTGGTTAGAAGAAATTTTGGGTAAAGGTTTGTGGAAAATTAGCAAGAGTTTCCCCTTAATTTTTTAACTTTTTTCCTACCACCCATATTTATAGAGAAAATTAGTTGGACTTTTTCCCTTGGTTGAATCCATCTCAACCCTTCATTTTTTAATCTTGGCCATTAATTCTCCTTGTTAGCACCTAATTTTTGCTCCTTTATATTTATTTATTATTATGAAAATACCAAAAGATAAATAAATAAAAAAATAAAAAAGGAAAAAAAAGAATTAAGATAGTTAGCTAAAAAAAGGGGTTTAATTGAAAAAATAAAAATTTGAAAACAATTAAAAGGACAATTAAGGGCATAGAAGAAAAAATCAAAGTTTCAAACCCTTTAATTAAAATAAGGAGTGATACAATTGGAACCAATTAAAACAAAAAGTCTCGATTATCGACAAAAGGAGGCTTAAATTAAAACAAACAAAAATAAACAAATTGAACCCAAATAAATGCATGAAAGAAAATCAAGGACCAAAGTGGGTTTTTGC